TCTCGGACCTAGCAATAGAATTAAGGTAATTGAGTCTTGTGTTTTTATTTCGATCTCGTCTAACTAACTTTATGCCTAGAACCTCATTAATGAAACCACTGCGCAGGCCGCGTGGTAGACCCACCTTCTGGTGCTCCGCCGCGCTGCGGGGTTTATCTGGGGTCGGGCTGGCGCTGGCCTGCGCTCCGGCCAGCGGCGAGGCGCTCGGCTTCTCGGGGGTGTCCGCCGGCATCCTGCACCCGCGCTCCGGTGCCGGGCAGAACGTTTGCGCCCTCTGGCGGGTTCCGGCCAAAAGCCCGCGAACCGGGACCGTGGCCGGCTCTATGAGGCCGCAGCGCGTTGGGGCCTGCGAACCCGGCCGGGCGTCCTTTCCCACACTAGCGTTGGCCAATGGGCGAAGCGCCTCTCCAGCCCAGCTCCGCGGGCGTGCGACCCCGCCTCCCCAGCTGTCACTCACTCGCTGCCGCSCCTGCTCMGCCAGCCCGGACAGGGGGACCGCGMCGCCGCGCCCTGGCCGGTTCCMGGCGCGAGCCAGGAGGGGTGCTCCGGCTGTAGGCTCACCTACCCGCCGCGTGGAAGCCGGAGGGCAGGGGGATGCGGTCCGTCGCGGCGGTGCAGTCAGTCTGAAAGGAAATTTCACAAGCCCCTCTAGGAATGGGGAGCCCGACCTGCGCAACTCCTCATTCTCCAAATTTGTTCAGGCTGCACGTGTGCAGCATGTCGTGCAGGCCTGGGCCTCTAGGGACGTGAACCCAGCTTTGCTGGGACGAAAGAACCAACSCCAGCCCCTGGGCTGGAAAGAGGTGACTGGCTGAGCTCGGCAGGCAGTTGGTGGCATTGGGTGACACCAGAGGGCAATCTGATGTGGGCAGACTGGCAGTGTCACAGGGTGATGACCCAAGCCAGGTAGAAGGATGTAATGGTGATGTGCCTTTCTTCTGAGGGCAATTGTTAAAAAGCTTCTGTCTGTGGCTTGCTGTTRTTTTCATTTTGAATCACACCCTGGGCCCTGCTTTTCTGTTGAGCACTCAGGGTCCCCGGCATACATGGCCTGACAGACATCCTGCATCCATGGTGGAGGTTTCCTGAGGTCCTGGAGACCCTCCTGGTGCTCCCAGTCCAGTGGAGGAGGCCTACCACACACCAACAAAAAGCCAGCCCACTTTTGGAGAGACAGAAAGGAGGGGTAGGCTGTGGTGGAGCCTCTCTCTCCTCTGGGTGGTCCTGAAGCCTACAGGACGGATCCTTCACGGGAAGGAAGCTCTGCAAGGTCCAGGTGGAGGGATTGGCATCCCCAGAACCCTAAGGGTCACGGAGGCCAAGAGAAGACTGGAAGTGTTCGGCAGGGCCAGCAGGGTCCTGGGGGCTTCTGGCCCAGGGGGAGGTCTGGAGAGCCAGTCCTGGGGGCCCCATCTGAAGCTGCCCCCCGAGGTCAACCCTGGTCTGGCCCTAGTCTAGAGGAAGCACAGCCCCTGGCTTCACCTTGGGGAAGCCCTCTGGAATCCCAGCACGGAGCAGATAGTCCTCCCGTTCTCATGGGGCACTGAGGTGGGGTGGGGGAGAGTCTGCCTGTGACCCCTGAAGTCTACATGGGRTGCACCCTCTGCTTGGTTGTCAATCTGGAAAGTACCCCCAGTGTCCACAGCACCCCATTCTCCTGCAGGGAGTCTCCTCTGAGGGTCTGGGCCTGTCCCTGTGTTCTGGGCCTCACCTGGGGAAGAGAAAAATCAGGCCTACAAGGGACCCAGAGTGAAGCGGAAGCCTGAGAGCAAGGTTCTCCCTGGTTTCTCTGTGTTCCCTACCTCTCCCCACAAGGTTCCTGCCCTTTGAACCTTTGGTTTCTCTTTTTACCCTAGAGTCCTTGGGAAAGACAAATGAGATCTTATCCCAAAAACACACTGAGGGTGCCCAGCACACAGTGAGCACTAGATTCTCACCAGCCGCAGCCCTGTTCCTTCCCCAGGTCTGGCCACCCAGCTGAACAGAGAGGACACTGCCTGTTCTCACCTCTGCTCTGCCTGAGTGCCCCGAGGACTGAGGGGCCTGTGCAGACAGTCGCTAGCAAGAGTGCATGAGCACCAGCTTTGTCACAGGCTGGGCCTGCTGTCCAGYTGCATCTCTCTGAGACTCTTCCCTTGTCCCTCTACTGTCCCTTCATTGCCTCTTGAATATGAACTTGACCTCTAAAGGATCTTCCTGGGGGCATTGGGCCTCCACTGTGAGTAGGAAGGGAGGGTCCTGGGCTGCACAGGGTCATGGTGGTGATGCCCTTGTTGGCAGACTGGGTTTTCCAAAAGGGGCACTGACCTCTTGCTCCATAACCTTGTGATGTGTCCCGGTGAGGACAGGGGCCTGGCAAGACATGACTTCTCAGGCTGAGGGTTTTTTTTTAATATATATTTTTTTTAGTTGTTGATGTTTAGTTCCTTATTTTACTTGTTTATAGAGAGTCCTGAGAATCAAACCCAGTGCCTCACACATGCTAGGCAAGCACTCTACCACTGAGCYACAACCCCAGCTCCTAAGGCTTAATTTTAAAGGTGCTGTGCGCACCCACCTGGCTGCCTTGGACATTTGCTGTGGAGACCTGGTCCCATGCTATGAGGAAGCCTTCCCTGGCCTGTGTGTGTGGCATCTGGCACCCTGCCAGGGTCTGATGATACAACAACAACAAAAAATCGGTGTGTCCTGCTCTCTTATTCAACGATGGAGCAGCTGGTGTCCTCAAACTCAGATGACACTGTTTGCCTGGAGATCTCATCAGACTCCAGGCCTGGATTCAGGACTTGGCCCCATTTTGGATGTCAGCCACCAGCTCCAGGGGTCTTACCCATGCTTCTGACCACCGGCAAAAATCCAGGGTTCCCACCACCCCCTCCTTGGTTCAGGTAATCTGTGCCAGTGGATCACAGAATGCAGGGAATCACATTTGCCGGTTTATCATAAAGTCTACTCTAAGCAACGCAGRTGAAGAGACATGGGAAGGGGGTGGAGAAGGGCCCTAGATCTTCCATGCTCTCCCTGGGCACTGTCCTCAGGAACCTCCAAGTGTTCATCTGGAAGCTCTCGGAATCCTGTCCTTGGGGGTTTGTTTGGTTTGGTCTGGTTGGTTGGTTACCAGGGATTGAACCCAGGGGCACTTAACCACTGAGCCACATGTTTTCAGGGAGAGTGGACCTAAGTTACTAGGGCCTTGCTAACTTGCTGAAGCTGGCTTTGAGCATGCCATCCTTCTGCCTCAGCCCCTGAGTCACTGGGATCACAGGTGTCGGCCACCATGCCGGGCTGTCCTTTGGGTTTTAATGTAGGCTTCTCATGGAAGCATAATGGATCAGAGCATTGGTCAGTGGTGGTCAAYTGGACTTTCATCTGCTCCTCAGGGCCCCTCCTGAAGTTACCCAGGGGGTTACCAGCCAGCACTTGATGTACAAAGACACATCACTCTTTAAAAAATGTTTTGTTGTTGTTGATGGACCTTTACTTTATTCATTTTTTAAAAATATTTATTTATTTATTTTTTGTTTTCGGTAGACACAACATCTTTGTTTGTATGTGGTGCTGAGGATCGAACCGGGCCGYACGCCTGCCAGGCGAGTGCGCTCCTGCCTAAGCCACATCGCCAGCCCTACTTTATTCATTTATTTATATGCGGTGCGGAGACTCAGACCCCGTCTTTCACACATGCTTGGCAAGTGCTCTACCACTGAGCCCCAGCCCCAGCCCAAGACACATTATTTTGAAGTTACAAGGTATTTTTCAACTTGTRTGCAAGGAGACAGAGATCAAATATGTACTTCACGGCATCATAAAGGCCTAGCTGACAGCCAACACCAGCCCTGTACATGCACCTCCACAGGACACCAGATGGTCCCAGCTGTAGCTGTGAGTGGCCAGCTCACACGTACTGAGCCAGGACCCACACCTGGCAGAGCAGAGGCCCTGCATGCCCATTCCAGTATCAACCCACAGAAAAAGGCAGTATTTGGGGGTCATTGATTATGTAGCATTATGACTGGGACATTGGGGATGGACTGAAGCCTGGACCCAGGGTCAGCGATCTTTCCCTCCTCCCTACTTCCTGTTCCAGCAGAGAGCAGATAAGAGGCAAAGAATCTGTAGTGGTCAGATAAGATTATGAACTAGCCAAATAGATCGTTCCTGGCTAYTTGGAGCTGTCAGAGTGTAGGCACTTATTCTAGGCCAAGGTTCTGACAGAGGCAGGTTCACAGTGTCCACTTGGATGTCAACTTGAGTTGTTCAGCTTGGAGGGGGCCGTGTGTGGGCATCACAGGCTGGAGGAACCACACTGTGCTGACCCTGGAGCACAGATATCTGGAAGATCCTTGCTGTGGTGATTTTCCTGGGCAAGGCTCCTGACAAGTGACCAGGTGACATGGGCAGGGTGATGTCATGTCCAGTCTTGGGGTGCCCCTCCTTTTATGGGCCTCAGGTGAGGGCATGATGTTACTTGGTGCTCTGGGGTGTTGGATAAGCTCATGGGCCTGGTTTTTCCGATGTTTGGTACACCCTGGCGCCCCTGTGCTTCTGATGAATCTGATAAGTTCACAGGGTCATTCTCGTAAGCATGGTGAATTCATTCGTTTATTATTCTGAGCCTTAGGGCTGTGCCAGGCAGATGGTGGCTGTTTACTTGTAGAAACGAGGTGTGGAGTCATGCGCCTCAGTCCTGGTACTCAAAACAGAGCAGCCTRTGGCAGCCACGGCTTCATGACACGGAGGACTCAGGGTGGGCACAGCCTGGGGACTGCTGTTGTTACGCCGTGGGGGGCTCGGAGCCGGGCAGAGCCTTCTCTCCATGGTGCAGCTTCCCCACTCTCGCTGGGCTGTGGCGCYTGGAGCGGGCAGGCTCCCCCCCATGGCCACTTCCTGACCAGACCTGTGTGGAAGGGCCCAGGGCTGACCCTGCGCCGTGCTGCTCTTTCCTGGATACTCCTCCTGGCTCCCGCCACTCTCCCAGCCCTGCTGTCACAGTCCTCGCGGACCTTCCCTCCCTTCTGCCTCTGTGTCCTCCTCGCTGGCCTTATGCTGGCCAAGGTCCACTCCAGCCTGAGGGTTGGGGTCCCCAACTACCTCCAGCCTGGCAGCCGCCTCCCYCTCCTTTAGCCCCGAGAGGTGAGGTCCTAGCAGAGGCCCCAGTGCAGTGTCCTCACGCTGGGCACCCTCTCCTCTCTGGTCAAGGGCGCTTGTCTGCAGCCCTGTGGCTGCTGCTGC